AATCATCAGAGGCAACATGGAATAGAGCCACCTGTACCAATCATATTTGCTGATGCAATGATAGCCAAGTCATTGCATCAGCAAATATGATTGGTACAGGTGGCTCTGTGGAATTTCCTGGGCAGACAATGGATAAAGAAAATGTAGTGTATATACACAGTGGAATCTTATTCATTCAAAAGGAATAGACTGCGTCACCTGCTGGGGAAAAAAAAAACATAGAACCGGGGGTCACTGTGTTAAGGGAAAGAGGCTAGACTCACAAAACAGCTGTTATGTGTTTTCGCCCATATATGGAATACAGAGAGGGTAGGGAAGAATTGACATTAGAGTATAAGGCAGGGTATTTAAGATATACAAATGGAAATGGGGGGGAGAGGGAGATAGAAAATTGAAACAATACAGGACACAATTAGGATCAAAATACACTATACTCATGGATTAAACATCACAATGAAACCCTTTACTTTGTACAGTGAGTACATGCTAATAAAAAATGTTACTTTAAGAGAACCAGTCTCTTTAATATTTGTATGTATGGAAGATAATTTAAAGTAGCACTTGCATTTTAAAGTATGATGCAGTATAAAAATTATATATGAATTTCAGGGACACTATCATTGAACACTCAGGTACTCAGTAATTATTTTCTGGTTGGCTGAACACACCTATTGAAAGTCAGTAGAGTGAAATGCATAAGAGCGTGGATCGGGGTCCAGACATTCCCATGTTTGAAGTAGAGCTGTGGTATTCATTAGCTGAGTATGACCTTCAACAAGTGACTTAACCTCCCAAGGCCTCAGTATTTCTCTTAGAAATAAGGTGGTTGAGTCATGTCTGACCCACAGCTAAACATATAAAATGAAACATGTAAATAAATATAGGTAGAGACATTATCTGTTACTGTGTATTTTCACCATACATTGTAATATCATAAATCAGTCAACACATCTGATTTTTTTTTTTTTTGCCTAAATGGAAACAAATGAATAGCAAGGGCTAAACACACGTATTTTCAGAGATATAATGGCAGTAAACACACAAACATAATTATGTATTCAATTTAACGTGTGGCGCATGGTCAGTGGTCAATGGCGGTTATTATCACAAAAAGCAACACATTACACAAAGAGGATCCAATACTCACTTCTCAACCAGGTACAATTTTGTGCACAGCATCCTGAAGCATTTTATTGCAGTGGTCGGGGGAGGGGTGGCAGGGAAGCCTGTGTGGCTGAGATTTATATGGCTTTAAAATCGTGGGAAAACAATTAACAGGTATAGGAGTTCATTGTAGCAGAGATCCCACGTGTAGCAACTGCTGACATCTGTTTTACATGTGATGATCAGTCATTTGCAGGGTCAATACTGTGACTAGCTCTCTCCGAGTTTACAAGTTCATGGTATCGCCCTACTGCTTTCTACTTGTTTAATTTAAAATATTAAGTATTAGCAAATGTTTTATTGAATGCCTCAGATCAGAATAGAACTTCAGGTGCTTGGCATGGGAAGAGCAGGGGGAAAAATGATATAAACTGCTTCAGATTTAGAGGCCCATCGAAGGGCTCCCTGGGGTGACCAGAGCATTTTCTTCTGTGATTTTTCTGGCTTCTACCCCATTTTTCCTTCGAGCACGACTCGTTTGTGTGAGATAAAGTTGAGACTCCTCGCGAAGGGCCTTATAAACATGTGTTATTCGATTTTAAATCTGATTTGAAAGTGCCTCTCTCCTGCTCCCTCAGAGTAAAGTGACCTTTTTAAATGGAGGGAAGTGGCTTCAGATGACAGGCTTGATAAATGCGGTCGTGTTCACTCAATAAAATAAGGCCCAGTGCATTTGAGGATAAATCAGTGGAATGTACAGCCCCACCTGTCTGTCTCCATCATTCATTTCCACTGTCACTTTCACAGTGCCTGATGGATCACAGTTGCTGTAAAATTAGACAGCCTTTAATCTCATTTCATCCTGATTAGCTCCTCTGCCCCTTTTCCCTCTAACTCACTGACTGACACGCTAAAAACTCAGGGCGGGCTGTGCACGCACGCGGAGGGCCAACCTCCTCCACCACCTGCCTGTGCACACTCACAGGTGTCCACCGCTAGAGAAGGCTGGGAAGGGGAAGGGGTGGCCTTGGGGTGACTTAAAGAGAATGGGCATGTGCGGGGTGCAGTGGGAGGCTGGGGAGGGGTGGCCTTGGGGTGACTTAAAAGAGAATGGGCGTGTGCGGGGTGCAGTGGGAGGCTGCTGGCTCTTGTTCCTTGCCCTACCTACTCTTGCTTTTCTTCCGGTTTAATCGGAAGTCAAAGGAATTAGAACTGTTTCAAAATTCAAAGATGGATCAAATATTTGATTTGCAATAAATCTGAGAGCATTTTACATTCAATAATAATCTCAAAGAGTCATTTGTGTCTATTTATAGCCTTCCATTTCACAGCGAGAATTCAGAAAGGATAATAATTCAAGAATGTGAATACTGAAATGCCCAACCAAGAAATCTAATATGCAAGATTATCAAACAAAAATAAAAACATGTGGAGAAAAAAAGAAGACCATCACAAACCCATCCCATCAGGCCTTGAAGGAACTCCCTTGTCCTGATTTTGAGGAGTTCAGTAGTTAGCTTAAAGCTATAGCTTCATTTGTTTGCACAAAGCAGAACAATGGGGGTAATCAAATGAGAAAGAAGCTTAAGAACAAATCGTGTATTATTTCCTTCACTTAATTTTTGCCTGAATGGGAACAAAAACAGAGCAGGAGCAAACACAAGTGTGGGTACATTTTCAGAGCTTTTGTCTTATTATGAGACTGGCCTATGGTTAAAGAGAAGAAAATACCAATTTTTCATTTTTGAAAAAAAAAAAGAATTGGACACTGAGCTAATCAAAACATTAAAGTAAAGCATATGAGGCATGGTGGCTGACCATGGAGTGAGTTAACTGAGCTGCTGGCTTCTACTTCTGCACAGTATCACAGCACGTAACTAGATGCATGTGATGGCAGCTAATACTGTGTAAGTCCACACGGGTCAGGGGGCATTATGTCAAGCTGAGACAGTAGGTCACAGCACATGATGGGGTACTCCAGGGTAGCCCAGTCTCCTTTCTGGTGGGCTGCGAAAGGTATCCTCATCACCCAAACTGCAACAGTTTCATTTATTTGACTTTAAAACACAGCTTCAAAACATAATCAAACTTAGTTGCTCAGTGAACCTAACAGGTAGACCTACACCAAGGAATTCAGAGTCATGGCTCCACAAGATCTATCAGTCGAGAGCATCCTCCAAAGATTAAAGAAAGGATTGGGAGTCTAAGGACGTTCTTAAGATGATGAAGTCCCTGATGGAACTCATAGACTGCATAAGCCACTTCAGATCCATTTTCTTCAACCGCTAAGTCAGGCATATCCATACGAATTCTTTGTCTCTCATGGCTAGTAACTTCAGAAGACATTAATATTCACAGTAAATATTAATTAACTAGTGAATCAGAATTCCTACAACCTCTGGGTAGTTTAGTTAGAAACTTAACAGGTGTGCTTATGGAACTATTTCCTGAGTTCTCATTCTCAAAGCCATGCCTGGTTCTCACTGTTTTTATTTCTGTACATTAACCAGTAGAAGTCATCTCTGAGAGAGCAAGGAGATAATTAAAGCAAAATGACACGAGAGATGCATGTATAGCCCTCAAAGTAAGTCAGGTATCAGATAGGTTCTCTCTCTCTCTCTCTCTCTCTCTCTCTCTCTCTCTCTCTCTCTCTCTCTCTCTCTCCCTTCCCACCTTCCTTCCTTTGTTAACTATTATATATGATTTTAGGGATGACTATTTTGCTTTGGGTAACCAAATTGGGAGTGGGGATTCAACCCTGTGATAGGTTCTCTCTCTCTCTCTCTCTCTCTCTCTCTCTCTCTCTCTCTCTCTCTCTCTCCCTCACTCTGCACATTGGCAAAGGAGCTCAGAGTAAGAATTGGCTGGGATTCATATTGATTTCCCACTGCACTGGTTTCTCAAGTGCTCTGTTGATCCGTGTCAAGCAATAAGTTCCCTGCCTGAACAGGCACTTCACCTCCCCATTTGTCCTCACCTAGATTTAAGGTGCCCATATGATGAGCTGAACAAGGACATCATTTTTCCTACTGGTGTCACTGGGCCCAAACCACCGCATGTCCGATGATAACTAATGCCGCATACATCTACAATCACCCTGTGATATTATCCCAGCAGAGACCAATACTACACAGCACCCTGCCTGGTACGGCATGACTTTCCAAAGGAGATGCAAAATGACAGAGAAACCTGGCTTTGGGGGGTTTATGAATAACACCCCTCTTCACAGCCTCTGCAGCTAGGTGCCGGGGAAAAATAGAGAGTGGAAGAGAACGGATATGCACGACGCTCCTGACAGTTCTCATCTTCGTTACAGAAGAGCTCTGATGCAGATAGATGGAAAATGTGTGATTGTGCTGCTAATGACATTGTACAGGAAATTAAGCGTATACATTTGGAGGAGGCATTAAATCAGCAGGACCTTAATTTAAAAACTTAAAACTGTATGGAAATTCAGTCTGCTCAATGCTGTGGAGTAGAAAGCCACCCAGCACCCCGGTCTGTTTGGGGAAAGATTGCCAGCAAATGGTTCCGCATTATTCAGAGTTACTTCTTTCAGGAAGTAGCTGCCAGCCCTGACCATTTGGGAGTGTCAGTCATTGCCATAGAAACCTATCCCCCATCGGGCAGATGAGGAGAGCTCAAGGATGGAAAGCTGCACGCGGGTTGTTCTTGACTAATCTGTGGAATAACATTATGTAAAATTAATCAAAAGAGGTTGGGCTTGAAACTGCTGGGAACACACCACTGAGCCAGGATGTGTGCGGCTCACAGGAGTGGTGGGTAGCCGTGCTGGTGCCTGTTGATGGAGTCTCATGGTTTGCACACTTTGCTGAAGTACAGAGCTGGTAAGCTGGTATTGGAAATCTTTATATGTCCTTTTTTCTTGATTCCAGTTATGCCTTACAACAGCGCCCACCACTGCGTTGTCGAGGTAGAAAACTTCCTGTTCGTGTTGGGCGGAGAGGACCAATGGAATCCAAATGGTAACTATTGAACAGTTTTAATCATAGCTGCTTTGTACAACTCAGCTTTGTGCTACTACAACGAAATACCTAAGGCAACTCACGTTAAAGAGAAAAGATTCACCGAGTTCACATTTTGGGAGGTACAAAGCTGTGTACTCAGTTCTAATGGGGTCAGTGGATGATGGCCCACTATGATGGAGTGAGCAAAAAGTAGTTATACCATCAATGGGGGCAGAAAAAGAGAGAGGATAGGCAGGATCTCACAATATCTGGAGACATGGCTCTGAAGAACTTAGGACCTCCCAAAAGGTCTACCTCGTAAACCTCCCGTCTGCTAATACAGTCATTTTGTGAAACAAACCTTTACCATGGAGATGAGCTTTGGGCGGACCGCTCAACTAGAGCTCAGCAGTGCTGAACCAGTACACAACGTAAAGGGATTGCTCTCCGTCCCTTTTATACTTAGTGTCGAAAATACACTTCTGTGCGACACGGGAAGAGGTCATGAGGTCAGCTGATGGAGAGAGGCAGAATACTCATGGAGCTAGCTGAGGACATATGTAACAGAGCATTCAAGTGCCAACTCTCCGGGGACTTAGCTTCACAGTGATGCCCAGCCCTTGTCCTTATCCATCCCTTGAGAAATGCCACAAGCAGAAGCAAGGACTCCCAGGGGAAGGTTGAGTTAGCTACAGCTGTTCAGATCTTCACCCACTACTCTCCTCCCACTCTGTCTATATGGGAACAAGGTTGCTATAAGCATTCTCTCCCTCATGCAGCACGGAACTCTGGTTCAAGTTCTTTTGCAGCAGGAAGGACCAAAAACCCAGTGCACCTCCTGTCTTCTCTGCAGCTTTTTACAAGTGTGCCTCCTGTAGGTTGTCCATCCTCTTTCCCATAACTATGATTCCTTCCTAAATGAAATTAAACCTTTTGACACACATCCCAAGCCAAATACAAGAACACTGTGTCTTGCAGAATATGCAAAATGACTGTGATGTGTTTTGAAAGCTTGCAAGTGAGGGAGGAGCCACAGCTGTAGCCTTCTGTGTTAGAGAGATAATTATGATTGAGAAACCATAAAACAGCTTGCAGGTACACATTTTTACTTTAAACGCCCAGAACACCCCACTGAAATTACATATACTGCGTATATTTTATTGTGAGTGCTCTCTTTCAGCATCTGCACCAAGGCAAATTGTGTAAAAATCATAACATCTGCTCGCTCTAGAAAATCCTAAAGGAAAACAAGCCAGACTGCCCACTAGTAAGAAAGTGGGAGAGGGCTGAGGAGACAGCTCAGTCCATGAAGTGTTTGCCATGCAAACATAAGAACCTGATTAAACCCCCAGAAATGAGATTAAAATATTAGGAAAAAGGTAGGAATGCTGTAATCCCAGCACCAGGGTAAGGAGACTGGAGATACCTAGGGGTCCCTGGCTGGTCAATGTAGCCTACCTGGTAAATTCTAGACCAGTGAGAGACTCTACTGAAAGATTAAGGTGGACAGTACCAGGGGAATAAGTTGAGGTTGTCCTTTGATATCCACATGCAAGTGCACACACGTGAAACACACACACACACACACACACACACACACACACACAACACACACACAACACAACACAACACACACACAACACAACACAACACACACACACACACACAACACCTATTCAATGAGCAATGGCCAGGAAATATAACTTGTTATCTGTTTGCTTTTCAACTTCAAATCAAAAATGTATCTGAGAGAACTAGGCTGGAAGTTGGGGAGAATTTAGAGGATATTCCTATCTCTAGTCAAGAGGATCAAGATTTTATCTCTAAATTAATTCAGAGACCCATATACCACCACTGGAAAATACTGGTTTTACTCTACCTACACCTGAAACAAACAGTACCCAGGATTAAAATCCTGCATGAACACACTCTAACAGAAAGGCTATTCATCCACAATCACACTCACTGCTGGAGTCACTCACTGGAACCTCAGTGCACATCATATGCAGACTCACATGGCAGTTTCTTGTCGGCCCAGAGTGCCAGGGCATACATAGTGTGCTCGTGTGTGCATGATCAGCACCACTGATTGTGCCAATCAATGTCTCTTCTCTGTCTTATCTGCTAGGAAGCTCAGAACAAAATTTTAGCAAAGCTTTATGTATTGTATGTTACTTTCAATGTTATCCCAGTTACGGGCCTGGCAGCTCTCTCTTTCTATAATATTCCTTTTTATAATCTTTGAAACTTACAGATGGAAATTTGGCTTCTTTAAACAGAAAGGAACTGGATATAACAGAGGCAAGTAAGCTAGCCTTTGGTTCCTTTTGTCAATTAAAAGAGTATTATAATTAAAAAGCTCTCTAAAAAGTCATTGGCTACCATCTTCTCCAGGCGGGAGAAAAGAGGAGAACGTAAGGCAGGCTATTCAGTGAGGGCTGCATCTGTGGCCATGATCAGCCGGCATTACAACTAAGAAATGGCTGCATCTATTTCTAAGGGACCTGGGCTATGTACTGTAACTGTCTACCACAATTCCATAAATACTTTGCATGTAGCTACACATTCTTTTTATCTTGTCAACCACAGTAGACTCCAATAGTAGGAATGCACTTAATATGCATATATGCTATCAGAATATAGAGATACTTGATTTCCATTTACCACTTAAACTGACTCCCCAAACAACTTAGAGGGGGTTTCCCTTCCCAAATCTGTTCCTCCACACCACTGACTGGAAAGTGCGCCATTTTCCTCACTCATCTCTTCACATGCTAATAATCATCACTGGTGTCTGGGGATGGGGCATCATCACAAGAAGAGAAGCCAAGGAAGAGTCAGAAAGAAAATAAAGACCTCGATGTGGTGGGGTAAGCCTGGAATCCCAGAACTGAGAGAGAGAGAGGGTAGAAGAATCCAGGGTTTGAGGCCAGTCTAGACTGCTCCTGAGACCCTGCTGGAATGGAGGATGAAGGGAAAGAGGGGCGGGGGAGGAAGGAAAATGGGAAAAAGTGAGGAAAGGAAAGGGAGTAGAAAGGACAGGAGGAGAGGGGAAGAAAGGGGTGGGGACGAAAAAGGAAAGGAACTGGAAATGGAAGGAGGAAATGGTAGAGGAGGAGAGGAGGGAAGAGGGGGAGAGGAGGGAGAGGAGAGGAGAGGAGAAGAATACTTACAGGAAAGGATGGAAGAGGGAAGGGGGAAGATAGGTAGAGAGCAGAGTAGAGAGGAGAGGAGTTAAAATAAAATTCCACTATATGTCACCACCCTCTCCAGCCCCTAGAAGAGTCTCAACAGTAAGACCCAGGAAAGTAAATAATAAGCCCACTTCAACTCACTTTCAGTTTCTCTAAGGCTCCTTATCTCCTCTGCCACCCTTAGAACTCCATCCTTCTTATCTTCCCAGGCCTCCACCTGTACCCCTTTCATGCCTCCATCCCTGCCTCTGGAGATGCTCTCTCATCTCAAGCCCTTTCAAACCAGGCTCTCCGGAGCCTTTTCTCTGAGTCAAGTCCACTTCCATTCTACCAGAAATGAAGACTTCTAGATTGTGCCACTGCTGCTCAGCCCATGAAGCCACTTCTTTGCCCCATTACCAAAAGTGGCAGATCCCTTCTTCCAAACAGAAATTCTGAACCAAACTTCATAGAGAAATAGCCTTAACCACGGTGGATGGGTTCTGACTCCTGTGGGCATTTTTAGTCTACAGATGCAGTTTAAAATTAACCTTGAAACTTTAGTACCAAAGATAATATCGTTTCCTGCAGGGAAATTATGACAAATTAATCCCTTCTCCCAAATCACTCAAAAAACCAGCTCTAGACATGGTCTACTTGAGTTAGAGCCTCCCTATTTGAAGTGTCTGGGTCATCCTTACCGCTCTTATCTTTCTGTGGCTCACCAGATAAAATCCAATTTATCAACAGTTGTCCTGAACTACCAACACTTCAACATGGGAAGGAACCCCTGACCACATTCACACAATCCCTAGAATCCTTTGAGTGGCTTTATCAGTTTCTTGTCTACTCAAAACCAGGGTGCCTTTGAAAAAACCACTTTCCCAGCCACCCTTTCAGTAGAGACCTGGCTTCTTCCTTCCATATACTACTAACCCACTCAATGATGAGCTTGTCACTAGAATAATCCATTGATGACATTAGCACCCTTAAGGTCCAGTCTTCTCCCAAGAACACCGCCCACTGGGGACCGAGCCTTCAACACACCAGCTTCTGAGGATAGTGTACTACTACACAACCCAATTTCTTCTTGTTGCCCTTTCTGTACAAATCTAAGGTCTTTTCCTTGGTCCCCCTTGCCAGCTCAAGAACTTTTCAGTATTTTTGAGCTTAAAAAATTGAAAATGACCACCAAAACACCCCTAAATGCACACACACACACACACACACATACACACACACACACATACACACACACACACACACACACAGAGGTTTGGTTTGGTTTCTTTCAAGACAGGGTTTCTCTGTGTAACCTTGGCTGTCCTGGAACTCATTCTGTAGACCAGGCTGGCCTCAAACTTAGTCATCCACCAGCCTTTGCCTCCTGAGTGCTGGGATCAAAGGCGTGCATCACCACCACCCGGCAGCCAAAATACTCCCTTGATGCTGCATCTTCTAGTTTAGCCTTCCATTTGGCCTCAGAAGTCTGGGAAGCATTATGCACCTCTTACCCCTCTGTCCTTATGTCTTAGTCTCTCCTGGGTTGTCCCCACTGGCTTTCCCACCATCAGTTCACTGAAGCAACACTTGTCAAGTGCTGTGGAATGTTCTGTATGGCAAATGTGTTGCTCTGACTGGTCAATAAATAAAATACTGATTGGCCAGTGGCTAGGCAGGAAGTATAGGCAGGACTAACAGAGAGGAGAAAAGAAAGAACAGGAAGGCAGAAGGAGTCACTGCCAGCCGTCTCCAGGACAAGCAGCATGTGAAGATGCTGGTAAGCCACGAGCCATGTGGCAAGGTATAGATTTATGGAAATGGATTAATTTAAACTATAAGAACAGTTAGCAAGAAGCCTGCCACGGCCATACAGTTTGTAAGCAATATAAGTCTCTGTGTTTACTTGGTTGGGTCTGAGCAGCTGTGGGACTGGTGGGTGACAAAGATTTGTCCTGACTGTGGGCAAGGCAGGAAAACTCTAGCTACAGGCAAGGCCACACACACTCTTCCTAGTCTCAGTTTCTTCCTTCCTTCTTTCAGAAACACTACTTGGCCTTCAAAGTGCTGTGCTTGCCTTTGTTGTCTTAGCTTTTCCCGACCCTTTTTCTTCCCATTCTATCCTCTTTTCTTCAATGGTTCCATCTAGTCCTGTCCATTTAAATAGTAACTCTGAACTAATGCCTCCCCAAATTTGCAATGGTAACATTACCCAGCCTCCTTAAGATATCCTATAGGCTTCTCTGTGTTAAGGACAAAGCTGACTTCACAACTTCTCACCTGAGTTTCTATTCAATAAACTCTGCTTGGTCTTTGTCAGTCCAATAAAGTGTGTGACCTAATAGCTAATCCCTCAGGCTAGACCCCAGACAGCCATCCTTAGTGACACACTTTCTCTTACATGAAAGGAGAAGGTATTTGGCCGAGCATGTACAATAGATTTAAAACTTGACCATATCTCAGCCGTGTGAGCACACACGTGTGCACATTCTGTTTGTTTTGCGGGTAACAGCTGGTACTCAGTGCCTAGTTACAAACCTTGAGCAAAGGCAGTATTTAGGGTTGAGGCCTCAGGTTGAGTTGGTTACCACCTCTAGCACTACATGAAAAGTATAGCATGCTCTTTTACTTCCATTTCTCACTTTGATGCCAATATGTATGCAAAATAAGATTCATTTTAATACCTTGGAAGCACTAATGTGCTTTTTAAGCTCAGCAGAGGGGATAAGCAGGCTAAGCAGCTCAGAAGACTCACGCTTGCTCCTGTTCCAGCAAATGTTCTTGTGTTTACGTCACAGCAATGGTGCATCTCCCAAATGCACACACAGAGCTTCTGTGATAAGCATGATACAAGACTGATTGTCATGGCTGCTGTTACTTCCATGGAGAGACAAATGTCTCTACTACAGTAGGGTTCTTGGGTCTGTAAAAATAAATGCTAATAATGGAGAATTAGGCATGCATGCATGCATGGGGCTTACTTACATGGAAAATATTTTTTTAATTTTCTCTTAAGTTTGCTGTTATCATTACTTTTCTAAAAAAATAGGTTTTAATATTTTTAGGAAGAAAATTTATTTAAAAAAAAGATGAGATCAGGTGCATGTTTAGCTTGCCCTCAGGCAGTGGGATCAGGACCTGTCCCTAGTGCATGAGCCGACTTTTTGGAGCCTAGTGTCTATAGTGAGACACTTTGTGCAGCCTTGGTGCAGGGAGGAGGGGCTTGGACCTCAATTGAATGTACCAGGCTCTGCTGACTCCCCATGGGAGATTTTGCCTTGGAGGAGGTAGGAATAGGGGGTAGGTTGGGGGAAAGGCTGGGGAATGGGAGGAGGGAGGACAGGGGAATCTGTGGTTGGTATGTAAAACAAATAGAAAATCTCTTAATAATAAAAAAAATTTTAAATAATACAAAAAAGAAACAATTTTCAAACATAGGTGAAAAATAAACTATGATGTCATTTAAAAAAGAGAAAGAGAGGGAGACTAACCGGAGATATCACACAAGGAATTCTCTAAAGTGGAGAATTTTCGGACAATAGCTTCTTGTTTTTAAAACATAAAAATATCAAAACCCAGGAAGAATTATACTAATGTTCTGATCAAAAAGAAGAATTTTAGCAAACATACTTGCTTGTGGCATGGTTGACTGGGTCAAATCATCCCACAACAATAAAAAGAATGAGGAAAAAGGAAACACACTTGAGGAAATGCCTCCCGGTCTCTCACGCCCTGCTAGAGGGTCCCTTGACTCAATTCATGCTTGTTACATCTGACGACAGAGATTTTAAAAACAGAGAAGTGTACAAATCAAGAAAGGGATCTAAGTGTTAATTGTCTGAAATGTGTTTTTACAGGAAAACACAGCACAAATTTTGTCAGCCGGTATGATCCCCGATTTAATAGTTGGATCCAACTTCCACCCATGCAAGAAAGGTAAGTGTTGATTTCTTTTGTTGGAGACATGTAGCAATGCTGCACAGATGCATGGGTGCTATGTGATAAGGAACGCTGAGCAGAGTCCATGAAAGACACAGAGGCAGAGTACTAACCATGGCTTTCCCAAGTCACATTGCTAACCTTTTCAATACAAAAGAGAAGAAGTCAGTTATCTGTCCTAACATAGGGAGAAAAAATTATGCAGCTTATCTTCTTTGACTTCAGTGATCATATTTTGGAACAGACTGTTTAACCACTAGTTATATGATTACTATCAATGGTAGTGTATCTGAGTTCTCAAAACACAGAATGCCGTCCTCACAGTGATCTGCATGTTGACACAAAAGCCTTTATAGTAAATGTTGAAGTATTTGATATTAGATTTAATATATGACATTAAAACCTGAGATTTAATTTTTAAATCGGTATTTAAGTTTAATATTGCAGGAATTCAAATCATTTGTATATGCCTCTTCAAGAATAGGTCATAGGTTATCAGCTTGTTTTTTAAAAAAACAATCCTAGCTGGCCATGCTGGCACATGCCTTGGGAGATGGAAGCAAGAGGATCAGAAAGCTCAAGGCCAGTCAGAGTTATATGAGATCCTGTCAGCCAAAACAAAACAAAAAATTGCCAGCCCATTTTTTTCATACACCATGTTTGTCTTGCCCTAGTCTCTTAGCTATCAAAGGACAACATGGGTAGTGTATGGATAGATACTTTATTTCTCCTAGCTGTATTCTGTCATGATGCCATGTCTTTGAATGCATATGATCATGTATATGCATGTAAGAGTTTAAACACTTGACTCTTTTGACCTCCTTTCAAGTAAATTGTCCAATAAAATAATGATAATAAACTACAACTTGTTACCTCATCATCATCAAGAATTAGAGAAGAAGCAATCGGCTATGTTTTTTTCTTTCTTGTTCAGAAAATGAATTCCTTTCACATCTATTTTATCATTCAAGTAGACTGCAGTGAGATCAAATTATATCTTTAGCATAAACTTCCCATTAAAAGCAATCTTCATGAAAATAGCATATATTCCAAAATGGGTGTTTCTACAGCAAGACAGGGTGAATCTTTTTAAATGTATTAAGAAGCTCAGCTTCTTCCCACCCCACATAAATGAATTTGATCCCTCCCCCCTTAGATGGGCACAGAAGCATATGTTCACAATTCCAGCACTCAGAAGCCTGATGCAGAAGAATCATGACTTGGAGGCCAGCCTGGGCTGTCCTGTGAGACCCTGTCTCAAATATGCAAATAACCCTCCAAAATAATAAGATAAAAAATGAGACTCTTTGAGGAGACTGCACATTATAAGCTGGAAATGTCCAAACAGTGTGTTAAGCACCATGGGTTCATTTAAGAAAACCCTTCACTCTGTCCACTGTACCTCAAGAAATTTTGCCAAGTCAATCATCATCCTAAGAAACTTCAGGAGCCACAAGTCTCTTGCAGTCTTTCTCCAGAACACTCCATCCCTTGCTTTTTGGGATGAGTTTCTGGTGATTGTTAATATAACTGTCTTACTTTGGCCTCTAATCAAATTCATTTACCAGAAAGTTTTATTTACAAAGGAATTGTCAACCCGTTTGAGATGCCAATCTCTCGTCACCACTGTCCCCTTTGCTGGGGGCTGTACACCATGATAATTAACCTTCATGCCTCCAGCTTGGGAGGCATAACTCACGTCGCGGTCAATTATCTCACTATAGAGCCCCTAAGGATGGAAAGTATTGCTACAAAACCTAATTAGTAATTTTTTTGTAGAATGTGTATTGTTTACTTGATAGTCTATAATGACTTCCTCTGAGGCAGGGTGGCCTATCATGGCAAGGTCCTACTTAGACAATTTTTAGCAGCTCATTGACCTGACAGAAAGACCTGCCACGGTCTGCCGCCGCCTGGCAGCCACCGTTGACAGGATGGACTGTTTAGCGTTTCTCTCGAAGTCATTATGGTATATCATGTCAGGTCCTCAGTAAAAGAAGTTTTCTTTCTTTCTTTTTTTTTTCTTTCTTTCTATTTTTGTTTTAAGATTTAGAACAATCAAGCCAATACAGCAAATAACTCCTTCCCAAGCTGAGTAGGAAAACACAGATCTCACCCAGTGGCCTTCTAGCACATCTCTCCTGTAGGATGGCTGACCCAGGCAGCGATCCATCACTCAAATGAAGTGTGCCTTCACCATTGCCAGGCTTCCATTCAAAATACCAATGGCCACCGGTACTCTAAGTGATGGTTAAAGATAGGAGGAAGAAACCTAAGATAGATGAGGAACTCAAGATCAGAGATACTTATTGAAACATTTAAGTTAATTTTATAAGACATAGATCATGAATCAAACCAGAAGTTCCTCATCTACCTGTTCCTATTATTCTCCTGCCAAACTGCTGAGGCATTTTTATGCTGAGAAGTTACCAGATTGATTGAGAATAAGAGAAACGTGTTATAAGTCATCTCAGGTATAGATCACCCTTACAGAGATGGGAATAGATTCCTAGGCTATTTCACCTAATCAAATCTTCCAGCAGAGTCTAATCAAGTTGTTGAGTGCCCTTTCTGTCCAGTAGAAAGTTAGACATTCAGCTTCTAGGTTTACTTCAACCATGGAAGAGCTCATAAATTCCATGCTTTCCAGATGTGAATTTACAAGCAAAGGATTGAATAGAAATACAGTTTTATTGTATTCCATGCACACAATGGAAGTCAATGACTGCTTTCCCCCAGAATCCTCCACTCATCAATAGTTCAGTAAGGGAGGATAAAGTCTTCTAAGCCCCTTCATCATCGTGTTTAGCTGATGACAGGTCCAGTGGTGTCCCCACATGCGAGCCTGTCAGGCTCCAGTGAGCTGCTCCAAACCCATCCTCACATGGAGGGTCCTAGTTAAACTCCATGGGTCACAAAACAGAACAAAAGGGTGTAAAGTTAGGAAAGGGATTTGAAGGGAAGAAGGAGTTGGGGAGGGGAGATAGGAGAGGGGAAGGGTAAGAGTAACCATTCCCATCATACACATCCATGAAATTGTCAAGGGATACATTTAATAAGAATTATAATAATCAAATCAAATAATCAAAATGAATGCTGACTGACTATTTTGGTCTTAGATTTAGGATTTGATTCTGCAGCAAGAGAGGAAAACTTAGAACAAGAGAAATGCTTTGGTAACTTCTATTTTTAAAGTAAAATGGGCATTTCATATTTAGTAATAAAGAAGTATTTTTACCCCCTAGCTAGTCTAAAATGTGGGAGCAGAAACAGTTTGAGGAACAATAGTCATCTATTTCACTGAGTGAGAAGCTAGAAGGTAATGTGCCCAAAATACTCCCAAACTTCAGTACTATTGGAGAAACTGAGAGACGATATTCAGCTTGAAAAACCTGTTGTTTTTAACTTGATGATGTAAGTCAACAATTCAAACTAAGTTAAGCAATTCAGTCTTACACTTTAGCATAGATATCATTTAATGCAACTAGATGATCAATATGTAGCTACATAAATAGATAGGTGATAGACAGGTAAATAATAGATTAAGTGATAGAAAAATGATGTTTGATAGATGACAGAGATATAAATGACAGAGATAGATAGATAGATAGATAGATAGATAGATAGATAGATAGATAGATAGATAGATAGATAGATAGACAGACAGACAGATAGATAGATAGATATGGCTTATTGATAGATCACCCTGGAGGTTAGCAAGAACTTTTAAAGATCTTAAAATAAGCCGAGTTTGAGTATATTTGTAAAGGTTATTAGTCAGCTTTTTAATTCTTATCTCAGAAACATTGCTAAATACTGCTGCTCAAAGTGAGAGCAAGGAGAAGTGAGAGGAGGAAGGAATGAACAATTTGAACTTACAACATTTGATTCCACTAAGGAATATTTAATAGTCTTGAGCTTACTTTAAAAAAAAAAAAAGCACAACCCAAGTGTCTTCTTTCTATGGAGTGGAGGGGAAATCTAGTCTGGTCATCTCAGCCTGTAGCAGGTACTCAGTGTTGACAGAACACCAAGCTCTTGTTCCATAATGCATTTCAGGAACACACAAGTTGGCCATGAGAGGGAATCTGGGGTGACTCACCACCATCACTGTAGGAATTTCTACCCAAAAATAGCATTTTGGGTCAGGAAGTGAAACCTGCTGATTCTTTCCAATTTAGACCCTAAGTCCACTGTGTGCCTGGGGCTGGGAGCACAGGTGGGTCATCAGAGGGGGTCACACTGTCTGAAATAGAAACCGGTTCTGACAGGCCGACTTGGTGTCAGAGAGCAGGGAACCAAGTCAGTGCAAAACTGGGAAACTGAAATAGAGACTAAAAAAGTAAATTTCGGACTGCCAAAGGGAGTGCTCCCCTGTTCTTCACAATCTCAACCAAAGGGAGTGCTCCCCTGTTCTTCACAATCT